ATTGATTGATCAACTGCATATTTTGTTCCCTCTGTATCATTATTTTATATCAGGTATACCTCATTTTCGGCATCCACAATCTGAAGCAAACTGCCCAAAATTTCCAAATTCGATGCTTATTCGACAACTTTATTGTCTGAACGGCTTCGATGCAGCATCTACAAAGCTACTTCAAAAAGCAAAATTTCATACCGATGGGCAAAATGTTAGAAGTGGATATTTTAAAATATAATACGAAAACTATTGAATTTTAATTGAAAGGTTTGGGGTTCAGTTCATAAGATTTGTATGCAGGTATAGTTAACGGATTTAAAATCCAAAACTGGTCTTTAAACACCTAAACCCTACAAAGTAAAGGTTCAAAGTATTTAATGTTTAAAGTGCAAGTGCTTTTAGTGTAAATCTTAGTCAAATTAATGCCATTGGGATCATACTTGAATAATGAATATTTTGTTGCTAATTCGAAAGTTTTCGAAACGCGTTTAATTTTAGTCCATTCAAACTGGAAACAGGAACAGTAAGATTTTAACTTGAACCTGGTAACCAAACTACTTTGCAACTTGATCTAGAATTTCTTTGACTCAATTTTAACTAAAAACACTGCAAAGCTAAGCTTGACATTTAAACTTCATATTAAAGTTTTGAAACTTCAGGGACCAGTCGCCTCAAAAGTAAAAATCATGTCAAAGAGAAAGAAAAGTTAGAAATTTTGAAAATTTTAACGATAAACCAGTTAGGCATTACATATCAGAGGAAGTGCACAGTTTGTCTAAATTTCGGGAGTTGAATTAACCAATAAAGGATTTGATAAGTGGAAAGTATTCGTAAACCGTGATGGAAACGAAGCCTCGCGTCGTTTAATTTCAATAGCGCTTTGTTTCTTAATGTATTTCGGAGGCCTCGGACACTAGATGTCTGGAATGAGGATCATGAGGCCGTTTAGTTACAAATGCGAACGCGGCGTGATCTGCCATATTTCCGAAATACGCGGGTTTCATTTCTCACCTTAGCGTTCATTTGATTCGTTGGGCGGAAGCAACGATTAAATATGTCAGTTTGCGTTAACAATTCGGCATTTTGTGGGTAGTCGTTGATTAAGTAAGAAATGAACGGGATTATTCAGGGAGATTTGTGATTCATTCGCGTTTTAGCAACCGAGGCGACCAGGTATTTGAATCGCCTATAAACTTGAAAATTCCTCCTACTTGGGGTAATATAAGTTAAAAAACTTCATACATTCGTTAACACCAAACGGCTGTCTCGACAAAAGGTTTGATTTTGCAAATTAAAGATTCTTTAAGAAAAAAATCCCTTTCGGCTCGGCCGATCAGGCTTTCCGCCACTTTGTTGCAATAGGGCGGAATAATGAGTTACACCAACCCTTAAAGTTTGGTCAAAATTGGATCATAATTACGAAAGTTAGAGTTTTTCTTGTAAGTGATAGGTGTATATAAACCAATAAACATGGTAGCTTGTACCATTAGGTAGATATACCAAAAACGAACATTCAGAATTTGAGGTGAATACTAGATTAAATGTTAAATGCTAAAGTAATATAAGCTTTTGTAGTCAACATTACATTAAATTTAAGTTTTAATCTTTTTGTTTGCAATTAAACATTTTAAAGCGTAGAATTATTTGAAAGTGGATACTACAACTTTAAAATGTGGGTGGAAATAATTAAAAGTTTACAGTTTAGAAAACTAAATAAAAAAAGATCACTTTTTGTGTTTAGCGTTTTGAAGTTAAATTAAGGCAAATCACTTGCGGTCATAAAAAACCCAACAACATAGCATTATTTCCACCAGGGCCCTTATATAATTAAGTTTAAGCTTCACTGTTCGTTTAATTCGTTTAATCTGTAAACGTTTTATCCCATTTAGGAATCGATGAAAAGAAAAAGAAAAATTAATTTGAATTTACTGATAACCTCCATTTGGACAATATAGTGCGGTTTCAGTAAATAAATATTGGCAATATACATCAGCACTGGGCACGTCATTTTCGGACGGGGATGAATTTATTTTATCGCTATTTCGAGGTTAATTTTTCAGAGGGAATTGAAGACACTTGAATGTATGATGTAGTTTGCCTTGTCACTGGAAAATAGGTTTGATCATTTGATTTTTAAATATTTACTTGAAATGTTTACATAAAAACACTATGTCCGATATAAGAAAGGGTAAGTGATACATATTTGATTAAATGGGAGACTTTTTATTTCGAATTCAGTCATGTATAGCATTTAATGGTTTAATTATGTCTTTTTTGGGGATTATTTAAGAAAATTCCTATTCCAGAAGGGTTTCAATTGGATGACATGAAACATCCTACCATGTGAAGCAATACCACAATGAAAAAAGTATGCTTTGGAAAACATGGCGCATTTGAACTGGCAGAAACGTTGGTTTTTGCACTTATTATTATGTAGGAGGGGTTTAATTTACTGTATAATTAGTATTTTTTCTATTAATTATGTTTTCTAACGAAGAAAAGTTGCTTTCTTCCCATGGGGGTTCATTAGGAATCGTGTTTATTAGCAAAATTGTGCAACGGAAAAAGAACTGAGGGGGTTAGTTCTAGCATTACTCCACAAATGCTGATTAGGGTGAGAAGATATCTATCTGTGTTTAGAAAATAATGAAAAACTATTCGAACATATGCTCTTAATTTACTACAATCATCACTTCATGCGAGACTGTGTCTTTTCTGCTTGGACGAAAATTGGTAACATCATACCCATACAAAACATAACCATTTCCAAAGCTAAAATTAATTTCGGGTCGCAACCTTGTGAGCCCAAAAGGGCGTGTTCAGCCTTATCTGTACCAGACACAACACAACAAACAAACAAGAGGGGTAGTGAATACCGCGGCACATAAAATATTGTGCAAGCAATTCTAACGTCTGACACTGATCAGTTAAATCGTATACTCAACCGTAATTAATACTCAATAATTCTCAATAATCAAACATTCGAATAACTTTACACTAGCAAAAGCAAAATTTGGATCGACCACGCCTTACCTTACAACATCTCTCTAAAAGCATAAACGTAATAAAGAAAAACACTTGACGATGCACAAACAACTAAATTTCTATTGATGTAATCAATTCCAATCATAAACATGATAATATGAGCCAATTCTTCAGAGTAAAACAAATAAAGTAACTAAAAAATGGTAAATATCTGCTTCGGACAAAGTTTCGGTAACTTCAACACTAATTTACATACCAAAGGTAGCAAATTATCGAATATAACACACATAATTTGTAGGATACAATGTAATCAAACTAACAGTCATGAATTCTCGGAGTAACAAAAGTAATCGTCTACAAAATTGGGTCTCGGAATGTATATGCTTCGTAGCGAAAGCAGAAACTTAACTGAGGGGACGACAAGACAGAGAAGTAAGTAAAAGAAATCTTTAACACTAGGATGCTGTCTATCGGCGAACTAAACAACTAAGGAATAAAAAATAGAACTAATGCAATGAGAAATCTACTACAGGAATTTACTTTCACCTTACACCTTAAACTAGTGGATTAAAAAGTAAGTGATGGCTTAAGAATACTAAATTTAAATTAGAGCAAAAATTTAAATAAGGCTACTTAAATGGAATATCAATCGATAGGAAAGTAACGTTAGAAACTGTACGTTTTGCACGGGACTAAATTCATCTCATCCGTAACTATACGATTCAAGTACAATACACTTACTTATCGACGTATTTCTATAATATAAATCGCGGCAAAAAAAGGGAGCGAAGGAGTGTGAGAGAGAAAGAAGTAGTCACTTCTGTCGGCACTTACTAAGTGCACAATGATTTATTCTCACCGCTTAGCTCTAAGTTAACCAATTTATTGCGACAATCATGAAAGTAAACTTTTTCCCTCGCTTTTCCTACGACTTTTCTTAAGTTATTTACATAACACTCAGGAAAATGATACATTACTGGCGAGAAAATATTGAAGTGCGAGGCCACTTAGGGGCCGAGTACTTTAATTTCCGAGTCAGGTAATATCATTTTACTGACGAGTTTTGTATTAAAATTTACCCGAAACCGTATTTTAATATAAAATTTTAATTTTTATATAGAACTTTTGATTAATGTCAATCTGTCAGTGATGACAGGAGTCATTATAGACATTTGGAAATGTCAAAAATGCGCCCGGTAAAGTGACAAGCGGTAGAAAACGTAGTCTGTTCTGTTTCTGTCATGGAAACTAAAATTTCCTAAAGCAAAGTAGGCACGAAAATGAAGGTTTCAATTTTTCGATTTTGGGTAAAGGTTATTTAAAAAAATCATCATAATATGTAGGCACATACATAAATATCATTTCTTTTTTAGTTTTATATTGACATCATTAATATCAACTTACAATTCTCACTTCTTTTTGGAAGTTGCTGGAATTCAATGGAATTTATTGGAAGTCAATGGAATTTTTGACGTTTTTTTTGGAATTCCGGAATTTTTTTACATTTTTGGAATTCCGGTGTACACATTTTTGCTACCTCTCATGCCTTCTTCGTAATTTGCTAGAAACATTTCCGCAAAATTTTGAGAGAGTTCTCTTCAAAAATTTGCAATCAACTCTAAAAAAATTGAGTTGGGCGGCGAAAATCTTGCTGAACCTTTTCCTTTCATCGATTCTCAGACAAACTCTTTCAGAAACCAAACATCGTATTTTTTTCGACGGAATGATAATTGCAATTTAAAAATTACATTTTTGGCGACATTTTCTATTCCGAAATATCGCGGAAAAGAATTTAGGGGTGTGTGTGTACTCGCTTTAAAATTAAGCACGCTACTGTACAGCGGAGCGGTAGTCGCAATGCAATTCAAAAACTTTCACGATACTTAAAGGAGACTTGAGGTGGTTTTTCGGTGAAGCATTTACTTAAGGGTTAGAACGTCCCAAAAAGTTGGGGACCAGTCATCAGCATGTGATTTTTTGGCTGTTTGTTGTGGTCTATTGAAACACCCGAAGAAGCTCACCTGAAAACCCCACAATACGAATTGGAGTTGTCAAATCCTTGGTCAAGGGGAATAATCCGATCCAAAAATCGCGGCGTCAAAGCGAGCGACGCTACTGCCGCCGTCAGCCACTGGTCACCCAGCTCTCCAGCGTCGACCGCAAACCGACAGACGTCGTTGGCGTTATCGTTCAAAAATCGAGGACGTTGGCACATTTCCTGCAAAAATCAAGAGAAAATGATAAATAAATAAACGAGTAACGGTACGGGTTGTCGAACTTCTCTGACACAATGACCAAGTAATAATTGCTATTGCCTATTTACAAAAGATTAATTGCTAATGCGACACTTTTGAAAATGAGGAACTTTCTCGCGCATTGACTGAAGTACCTACTTAACCTCGAAACTTGGGACAAAAATACTTACACCTCACACCTGCCTGTAGCATTAGGTTAATTCATTCAAATCGCAAATTGCTTATTCAATTTCTCATGAGGAAGGTCGTGTAATAAATTACAATGTAGCGACGTGTGCAAGCCTCCTTTTGAGGTTCTTTCGGTGACGGATTATTAAGTGCCATTTTGAAGTACACGAGCCAAATTTGTGACCGCTGAGGTTGCTGAGTCGCATGATAAATGGCTAAATCTGGGATGCCAAGTTGTGAACGGTCCAAGATCTTCCTGGGAAGACAATTTTGAAGAGCTGTTTCTTGTTCTTCTCCACACCCCCTATACAGAGAGTCTACTTTAAAGCCGCTGGCTCACAATCCACTTTTATTGTGAACTCAGCAGTTTACAACCTGTACACATTATTATATAATAACAATTTCGAACCATTTATTCGTTTACTTAATTGGGTAATAACGCATTAAATCTGAAAGCGTACCTGTTATTACACGACTATTCTAAACGTGGCAAATTATAATACAGCGAATCAGGTCGAAATAATCGTGATCGCCCGTGTTAATTAAACCAAATGAACCATGAAATGGAACTTTTTCCTACGCGACTGACATACTAAAATACTGTCCAGTAAGACAGAATTGCTGTTATGCAAGTACTTGTGGCAAAAACGCAGAACCTCAGGGAATCAGTATGACGATCAAATTCAAACTCGTTCAAATTCCAGTTCAAAATTTTAGAACCGGGCGGGTCCGATTTCGGAAATTGGGTTTTGCGTCTAAGAGAACTTTTCTCGGCGTTTTATTTTGTTTCTTCAGAAATGCTCGATGCTGTTCGTTCGTTTTTCGATTCCTATTTTTGAGCTTTTCGAAATTGAAATGCAATCTCAAATTCAAATGCCAGTTCGCAATGGGATCATTTTGGTTTTCTCCCTAAAAGTCATCCAAACATCTGTCATTCTTTTAGGGGAGAAACCCAATTTCCAAAAAGAGGTGCATGAATCTGCATTGAAATGCGAAAATTTGAAATTTATTGGGTATGAGGTTGGGTTTAAAATTTGAAATCCTAACTGGAACATGAAATTTCCCACATTCTCCAAAACAGGTCCATTTGGAAAGTGACCTCTTCCGCTGGAAATTTAAAATAACGTTGGGAAAACCTGAAAGTTCAAAATGGCCTACAAAATTTGATTTTGATCTTGAATGTGAGACTGTAGAAATCCTAACTTTAATAAGCTGGAATTCAAGCAAATAAATAAATGCAGAACATTCCCACTATATTCACGGTTGGAAATAAATCAGCTAACCTGTCGATTGCTCTACACCAGAGTTTCAAACCTTTTCTTATCACGTACCCCAAATAAACACCCATACTCACAGCTGTACCCCCTGCTGATAAGGCTGATACGATAGGCATCTATACAAAAAAATCTTCCTCGCACCTTCTTCCTCGGTATATTAACTTTTTATAAAACCCTGGAACCTCGAGGACAATGTTTTGGGGATGTAACAAATTGGGGTGCCGATTTCGGGGTGCTAACTTAACCCAGCAATTATCACCCTCAGAATACTCGCGGGGAGCTTCTCCCCATCAAAGTATGCACCGGAATAGGGGCCTTCAGATTTTCCATCCTCAAGGAATATTCTTCCCATGAAAAATTTGCCCCTTTCCAATCCGTACTGCACCCTCGCGAGGAAATTGCCCTACAAGGTCTTTGGTCCAGGGTGCTTCAAATTCGTGGCTAACCATTGGGATCTCCGTAACGATGAGAGATAGGTTAAATGGAGCCAAAGTTGCTCCTTTTTCTGAATAACAAAAATTTAAAAATTTTTGAAAAATGTTTCAAATAACGTATCACCTAAAACTGAAAATGTCGAATTTCGTTTTCATTTTCCGTAGCCTATACGGTTATGATCATTTCCATCATACGCTAGATGTAGAAGCTACAGGCTACTAGTTTCTTATTTCTTATGGACGCCATATTGGCTTTTTACGGAATGAAATAGAGAACAAAAAAAGAAATTCATTTGAATACATCGCCATCATTGCCATATTGATTCAGCAAGATCTAGCACTGCATAGTATAGAGTGAGTTTTTCTTTTTTTCCTCTATCTCTTTCTCTAAAAATTTAATATGGCGCACATAAGAAATAAGAAAGTAGTCGTTTGTAGCTTCTACATCTAGGGTGCTATAATGATACTAGATTAAGATTTTTCGAAAAAAAGTGCCTTTAGGAGGTGCTAACCGAAATTCTCCATTTCCGACCCTTTAAACACCCTGTACACTTGTATAGGCTTTTATAGGGTTGATATCGAAGAACTACGAATTAAAAATACCTAAAGTAGCTATAATTTTTAAAAGTGAAACCGAAATTTTAGCAAAAAAATAGGTACCTTTTTTTAATACCATTTCGGAAATGCTAACAAAGCAAGAAATTAATAATGAAATAGAAAAACCTTACTAAAAATATTAGAAATTAGCGACAAAAGTATTCCAAAATTAAAATCGAGTTAAAAAATGGAATAGATGACAATGGCGAACAAAAAAAAATAAAAACAATTATGAATTTTAGAAAAAAACATCAAAAAGAAAGAGAACAATTAAAATCAATTTATAAAAAGGAACAAATGTAAACTATAAATTAATAATCCAAGAAAAAGTAAAAAATTTAAAAGATTTCAGTACCCATCACGGAAATGAAGAACCGTGTGGGGGGGGGGGGGCATCTACAAAAAATCAAAGTCTACTAAGAAAGAGAATTTCGTATACAGTGTAAAAAACTAAATTAGTAATACACAAATCGGGAGCATGGAGGAAAATATTAACAAAAACTCAAATAAAAAAACAAAAAAGTATACAGAGAGAATATTTGTCAGACATAGAAAACCGCACCGAGAATAAACTGACCGAAATAAAAACGCGTAATACCCTGATGGGCGGAACGTGTAAAAAAACAAAAAAACCAAAGGCAGAACTGTACTAAATAGGATTAATTTAATTTAAAAAAAAAAGTGAAGGAATCAAAACTATACACCCCTCAAAATGCAACACTGTACTGAATAATACTGATAAAACCAAAACGGCGAGGGTGTATATTTGAACAGGGGTTTATAATAAATTTTTTTAACATAATCATTCAAAGAAATAAAAATATTTGTGGCGCCTCAAGTTATACTAGCCAGTCAATTTAGACCAAAAATGGGCAATCAGTGGAACTAAAAATACTAGTTCCAATTTTTTCAGAAATGTGTAGGGAGAGGTTCCCTGAACAAGAAAAAATAAAGTCCCTCCAAATTCCGGTGCCGCTAGGGGGAAGGAGGGGGCTTTAAACGACCCATTTTTCAGTTTTTCGCTTTTAACTCGAAAATGGTGCGTTACAGTGAAAAAGTTCTTCAGTACAAAATGAAAGCTTATTAAAATTGCTACAAGTTTGGTTATATACATCTTTACGAAAAACTGAACCGTTTTCGTGCTACCGGCTCCGGAAAGGTGGTAATTTCTAAACAAAATTGTTTTTCACTCACGTTTTTCGTATATTTTTGGCTTCTAAATCCTCCCCCGGTCATTTTAGGGGAAAATCATCACAATAAAACCAGTACAGCATTAACATCCCTATAGCCCGAACCTGCTGAAGTACGAATTATCTCCAGACCCCATTATTCCACGAAAGATGCTTCAGGAAATCTGCTCTCTATGAGGCTTTCCCTGTGTGCATGGATGCAGTGCACCTCAAAATGATTTACACTGTAGTGGACGGTGGCTTTCTCCTTCACAGAGTCAAGTGGAATGTTGGGACCACTTTCTCTTTCGTCTGTGAGCAGTATGCTTCATATATAATAAATCACTATTCTTCCAATTGTGCAGTTGTATTCGATGGGTACGAGGACATTAATACCATAAAACGGTTCAGTTTTCGAAAAAATGTATATAAGCAAACTTGTAGCAAATTTAATAAGCTTTCATTTTGTACTGAAGAACTTTTTCGCTGAGTCGTTTAAAGCCCCCCCCCCCCTTCCCCTCAGCGGCACAGGAATTTGGAGGGACTTTATTTTTTCTTGTTCAGGGATCCTCTCCCTACACATGAAAAAATTGGAACTAGTATTTTTAGTTTCTCTGATTGCCCATTTTTGGTCTAAATTGACTGGGCTATTAATCCATTATAATACGATAATGCACAGCGGAAAACAATAATTCCCACCTTTATAATCACAACACGTCACAGTAACAACGTGGAATTGAAATGGAAAAACAGAACTGTGTGTGGAGGCTCCTCTTGAAATTGATTACTTGTACACTTTGCCATAGATTTTGCATTTTACAATTACGTTTTGAGTCGTCGCAACATGATTATATTAGGTTGCACTTGCGAGAAATTCTAGGAAAGTCTACTGACCACAGTTTCTTATATTACTTGAGATAGTTTCCCTTAAAGCTTACCATCACTTAATTAAATTTAACTATCAATTAACATTAAACAACGTCTCTAGTTTCATTAGTGAGATACTTTACACATCAACGCCCAACTGAATGTGAAAGCGTTATTCGTTTTAATCAATATTGCTGTTACGATTTTTTTCGATTTGTGCGAGCTTGAGGAATTGCTTGACGACCACGATAAGGATATAATGGAGTTTCTTGGCGACATATGAATATGATCGTTTATAGTTAAAGAATAACGACAAAATCGTCCTGACGAACGTAATAAGGTTTGAATAAATCCGTTTCAGTACGAATCTTGTTGAAAACGAGACACCTGCTATATTACGACGGTATATTATACGAATTTTACTTTACGTAATACTCGTATAGGTATTATGAGACTGGCTCGCTAAACGAATTACTATTTCTATGACAGCTTTCACTCCACTTTAGGAATGTAATAATAAGTGCGAGACGAGTAGTAAAAGACATTCACTACCGCGGAGTGCCATTAATTATATTAACATTATAATTTACAATTTCCGAGTGGTGACAATGTTGAGGTTGGATTGACTTCGTTGTTCACCACCTATGATGATACATTTTTGTGAAGATGGCGAGCAAGTGATTGAAAAGTGAATTAATGCGCAGCCACAGACCATTTACGAACTAAAATTTATCCTCCGCTTTCCACATTTTCAGCAGCGAAAATGGAATCGCAAAGTATTATCAGACGATGATCAGTTTTCATTGATTTTGAATTACATTTCTAAACCTGAACCTGAAACTTCCTTCCGAAATTACTTTGGGGTACCTCAGTTCAAATTTAAGGCAGTAACATGTCACGTTATTGAACAAGTTATAGGTAAAATTCATTCGAAGGCATACGGCTGTGATG